CCCACCCCATCCCCATCTCCCCTCCAAGCCTTGCCTCCCCCACACCCCCGTCTCCCCCCAGCACCCTCACCGAGCCAGCTGACGTGTTGGCTGCACAGCCAGGAAGACTTTAATTCCCCCCGGGGCGGGGCCTTTGTGCCCCTCGGTTTGCAAAGCCCCTTCCCAGCACAGCCAGCGCCCCATACTGGGAGCACTGGGGTGCTGAGCGTGTGCCCCCAGCTGTCACCCCATGCTGGGGGAGTGTGTCTGCCACCCTGGCTGGGCCGGGCTCTTCTGCAATGAGAGCTGCCCCCCCGGCTCCTTCGGGCCTGGCTGCCTCCAGAGCTGCCTCTGCCTCCACGGGGGGGTCTGTGACGGGACCACCGGCCTCTGCCGCTGCCCCCCCGGCTACACGGTGAGGGGCACGGGGGGCTGGTGTGCTGGGGCAGCGTCGTGGGGCATCCCTGAGCGGGAGAGTGAGGGTCTGGGTGGTGCTGGGGGATCGTGGGGGCTCTGGATGGTTCTAGGTGGGTGTCAGGATTGTTCAGAGGTGGGGCAAGCATGGGGGTCTGGGCATCCCTGAGGGAAACATGGGGGTCTGTCCTTGGGGGTGGGTTGGGGTTGTTATCTCTGAGGGTCTGGGCATCCCTTGGGAGATCAGTGGCAACCCTGGGGACAGCTTGGGGTTGCTATGGGAGAATGGGGTTTTTGGGGTTGTCGAGTCTCCCTGCAGCACCAGGATGCCAGAAGGAGGGATGACGGGGTGGTCCCCAGACACCTGGGTCCTTTCCCCAGCCCTGGGTGGGGGTCCCATCTGTTCTGAATTCTCTCCCCCCCTTCACCCAGGATGAGCACTGCTCCTCCCTGTGCCCCCCTGACACCTTTGGGATGAACTGCTCGGGGCGCTGCTCCTGCCAGCACGCCCTGGCCTGCTCCCCACTCGACGGGTCCTGCTTCTGCAAAGAAGGTGGGTGCACACTGGAGGGTGGGGGGTCCCTATGCCCGTCCCCGTGCCCACCTCAGTGTCCCCTCACCCCGCAGGCTGGCACGGACCGGACTGCTCGACGCCGTGTCCCGCTGGTATTTGGGGTCCCGGCTGCAACCAGAGCTGTGACTGCGCCCACGGGGCGTCCTGCGACCCCCAGAGCGGGACCTGCCGGTGCCCACGGGGCTGGCAGGGCCCCCGCTGCCTGCAGCCCTGCCCGGTGAGTCCTGCTGGCTGTGCTGGTGCTGCTGGCACCGGGGCTTGGTGCCACCACCCCGGCGGTGACTCCCCGACCTGTCCCCACGCTGCAGAACGGGACGTTCGGGGCGGGCTGCCGGGGGCACTGTGACTGTGCCCACGCCGACGGCTGCGACACCGTGACGGGGGAGTGCCACTGCCTGCCCGGCTGGACGGGTGAGGGGGATCCCGGGGGCGGTGGGGCCCTGCCGTGCCCTCAGACGTCGCCCTTCACCCCTCCTATCCCTCCTCGTCCCCGCAGGGCCGCAGTGCAAGCAGAGCTGTCCCCAGGGCTCCTGGGGCCGGGGGTGCCGCATGTCCTGCTCCTGCCGCAACGGGGCCTCCTGCTCCCCCCAGGACGGATCCTGCGCCTGCCCCCCGGGGTTCCGCGGCCCCACCTGCCAGCGCCGTGAGTGAACAGCCCCCTCCCGCCCCCAAAACCGCGGCTTGCTCCCAGCCCGGTCCCTGAGCCCTGCGCTGAGACCGGGTGCGACTCGTGTCACCCCAGCCTGTCCCCCCGGGCGCTACGGCAAGCGCTGCTCGCTGAGCTGCTCCTGCGCCAACGGCTCCTCCTGCCACCCCACCAACGGCTCCTGCCTCTGTGCCCCGGGCTGGCGGGGCCCCCGCTGCTCCCAGCGTGAGTGGGGGGCCGGGGGGGCCGGGGGAGAGGGGGAGTGCGGAACGAGGCTGACCCCACAAGGCTGACCCCACCCCTTGCCCGCTCCTCCAGCCTGTGCCCCCGGCTCCTGGGGGGACGCCTGTGCCCAGCCCTGCCTGTGCCACCACGGGGGGACGTGTCACCCTGCTGAGGGGACCTGCCACTGCCCGACTGGCTGGAGCGGGACGCTCTGCGAGGAAGGTAGAGCCTGGCACAGACACCCCCTCACTGTGGGTCTGCACCCTCCCATCCAGCCAGGGGGGTCTGGGGGGGAGCAAGAGAGAGGGGTCACCATCTGGGTTACCCCTACCCAGCTCCGGACTGGGCAGTATGGAACTGTATGGGCCCCTGTGGACCTCCATGATCCTGGGCACCAGGAACGGCCCCAGTATGGAGCTGTATGGTCCCAGTATGGAGCTGTATGGTCCCAGTATGGAGCTATATGGTCCCAGTATGGTGCTGTGGTCCCAGTATGGTGCTGTGGTCCCAGTATGGCTCTGGCTCCCCCACCCCCTGTGTCCCCAGCCTGTGTCCCCGGGACCTTCGGGCTCCAGTGTGACCAACTCTGCCGCTGCCCCCACAATGCCACCTGCCACCCCGCCACCGGGACGTGTCCCTGCCCCCCAGGCACGACCGGGCCCCACTGTGAGGCTGGTGAGTGGGGGCAGAGCGGGGGGTCCCTGGGGTCCCTACCCCACCCTGGGGGCTGATATTCCTCCCCACCCCACAGGGACCCCTGAGCAGCCCTACACCATTGTGCCGGCCCCCCCTGCAGCCTACAGCTCCCTGGGGCTGGTGCTGAGCCTGGTGGCCCTGGTGGCACTGCTGGTGGCCGTGGTGGTCATGGCCCTGTGCTACCGCCACCGGCAGAAGGGCAAGGAGAGCCGGCACCTGGCCGTGGCCTACACGGCGGGACAGACGGACACCTCCGACTACATGGTGCCAGGTGAGCCCGGGGCAGCGGTGCTGCAGGCGTGGCCCCAGCCCTGGTGGCCCTCCTGCTGACTCCTGTCCCTCCAGACGTGCCACCAAGCCACCACGCACACTACTACTCCAACCCCAGCTACCACACGCTGTCCCAGTGCCCGCTGCCACCCCCCGGCCCCCAGGACAGAGCCAGCTCCCTCAAGGTACGGCACGGGGCAGGATGGTGTGGCACGGGCCAGCACAGCGTGGCACAGGCCACTGCCACGACCCTCAAGGCCACCCTGTCCCCTGTTTGGGCTCCAGGTGCCCGGCCCACAGCTCTTCCCTGGCCTGGAGAGACCCTACGGCCCTGAAGGCAATGCCACGCTGCCCCCTGACTGGAAGCACCTCGGGGCATCAGCCCTGGGCCCCAGGGGTAAGGAGGATGGGGGGCAGCTCCGAGGGAGCCACCTTGGCCAGAGTGGGGTGGGCACCTGGGTCCCCTCCCTGCTCGGGATCCACGGGGAAGGGGCTGGGGTGGGGTGGAGTGGACAGAGAACTTTAATGCTTGGAGGAAGATGAAGCAGAGGGGACCCCAAACCTGCCCCCTTAACACAGGGGGGCAGCTGGACCGGAGCTACAGCTACAGCTACAGCCCTGGGCTGGGGAAGGGTGACAGCAAAGGTACGGAGTGGGATGGAGGGGAGTGGGGGAGAGAGAGGGGGAGGATGGGAAATGGATGTGGATGGGGTGGGGAGAGGAAAAGGGTGGGATGGGGAAGGGATAACACTGGGCCTGGGGCTGGGATGGCAAAAGGATGGGGCTGGGGCTGAGATGGGAAAAGGATGGGGCTGGGGCTGGGATGGAGACTTGATGGGGTCGGGGCTGGGATGGGGACTTGGCGGGTTTGGGGCGTGACAGGGATGGGCTGGGATGGGCAAGAGGCAGGGATGGGGTGGGGATGGGTTGGGACAGGACTGGAATGGGGTGGGGATGGGGAAGGAAAGGGCCAGGGGTGGGGCTGTGATGGGGAAGAGGCGGGGCTGGGATAGGGAAGGGATGGGGCCGGGACTTCCCTGGGACACAGCTGGACGTGGCTCCCGCTCCCCGTCATGGGGAAAACCCCAACTCCTTCTCCCCCAGAGCACCCCCGGGAGGGGCTGGGGGCCAGCGCCAGCTCCCTGGCCAGCGAGAACCCCTATGCCACCATCAAGGAGCTGCCCACCCCCACTGCCAAGGCCCCCGAGGGCAGTTACATGGAGATGAAGTCCCCTGTCCGGCGGGAGATGTCCTACGCTGAGATCGGGGTCCCCGAGGAGCCGCCCCAGGAGGGTACGGCTGGGGGGTCCCCTGGCCCCGTGCAGTGGGCACAGGACCCTGCTGATGGGGGGCTGCCTGGCCCCGGGAGGGAAACAACCTCGATGACAGGGGCTGCACAGCCCTGGGGGTGACGTGACCCCCGTGACTATGTGGCCCCGGGGGGACATGGCCTTGGTGACACGGGCTTCGTGACCCCTGGGGGGGACATGTCCCCTTGCAGCCTTCTCTTGTCCCCACAGAGAGCGGCCCCACACGCACAGACCCCCCCAGCCACTACGACTCCCCCAAGAACAGCCACATCCCCAGTCACTACGACGTGCCCCCCGCCCGCCACTACCCCCCGTCCCCCCCGCTGCGCAGGAAGGACCGCTGAGGGACCGGGGGGGGGGACACAGGACTGACCAGGAGGGGACAGAGCATCCCTGCGGGGACTGGGCTGCTCTGGGGCTGTCCCTGAGCCCGCAGTGAATAAAGGGTGTTTGGTGTGGAGCGAGCTGGGGCTGCCTGTGGGTCTGTGCCAAGGAGCCACAGGGCCCGAGGGCACTGTGGGGGGAGGAAAGCGGGGGCTGGTGGGGTCCTGGGCACACTGTGGGGCCCCCCAGGCTCTGTCCTGGGGGCCCTGCTCCCTCCCAGGATGTGCACGAGGTGGGACCCCAAAGCACATCCAAGCCCGTCACGCTCCGTGAGAGGAACGGGCAAAGGTTGGAGGAGCCCGTGGTGTGCCAGGAGTGGGAGTGGGGGCATCTGTGGGCCTGCACAAAGCCCAGGGAGGACCACTGTGTGCCCCGGGAGGGAGAAGGGCCTGTCCAGCCTGCAGAAGGACTGGCAGAGCCGTGGGAGGGAGCAGAGCCTCGTGGAGATCTGCCAAAGGCTCGTGGAGCCCACTGAGCACCTCGGGGGGAGTGCTGGGGGGGCTCCTGTGGGCTCGGGCAGAGCACAGAGAGATCCACAGCTGACCCTGGGATAGAGCAGGGGCCTCTGTGGACATGGTCAAAGCCCCTCAGATCCCACTGTGACCCCAAGGAAGGAGCAGGGGTCCATGTTGTCCCATGTGAAGCCCCTCAGATCCCACTGTGACCCCAAGGAAGGAGCAGGGGTCCATGTTGTCCCATGTGAAGCCCCTCAGATCCCACTGTGACCCCAAGGAAGGAGCAGGGGTCCATGTTGTCCCATGTGAAGCCCCTCAGATCCCACTGTGCCCCCTGGAGAGGAGCAGGGGTCCGTGTTGTCCCGTGTGAAGCCCCTCAGATCCCTCTGTGCCCCCAGGGAAGGATCAGGGCTCTGCACCATCCCATGCAAAGTTCTGCTGAGCCCCCCGGGCACCCTGGGAGGGAGAAGGGATCCCAGAAAGCTGGGCAAAGCCTGTCCTGTGCCCTGGGAAGGAGGACAGTCCCTACGTCTCCATTTCAGTTCATTGTCATTATTTTTTTTCTCTAGTTCTTGTTGCTTTATAAAATTTACCGTTTACCTTTATCCCATTCGCTGACTTTCTTTTTCAATTATTTCTTGTCTTTCTTTAGTGCCCTCCTTTCTGTGATTTTTGTTCTATGTCTCTGTTCTATTCCAGTTCACTGTCCCCAATTTTCCTTTTTTTCTCCCCCCCCCTCTATTTCCCTAAACCAAGGGCTTTGCCTCACCCCGCCCTGTCCACGCAGGAAGGAATGAGATTCTTTCTGTTGCTCCCTGTGATTTTACCAGCTGAAGGAATGTGACTTCCCCCTCTCACGCCCCAGCTGATCAGACTTGGGTAGACTGGGGGGGAGGTGTCATTATATTAAAGGACAGATCTACTGACCTGGTGTGGGATCCTCCCCCACCCAAATCAACACCAGATTCTGGGTGCAGTGACTCAGTTCCAGAAGTAAATCTGACACCCAACGATTGCTGTGCACCTGGGAAGTGCAAGGGAAATGGATCCTGCCAGGCTCTGCCCTGGGATCCCACATTTGATCCTTTTAAGGAACCAGGTTATTAGGAAGGAGAATATTTGGTGCAATGGGACACCCGTGGGTGTGTGAGACTCCCCAACACCACTTCAGCCATCACAGTACAGAAGGACGGGACAAAACCTCCTGTGGAGGGGGTTTGACATGGAATCCAACAATATCCTCAGCCCACCTCCCACGGAGCCTCTGCTTTAACTGCTGTGAAATATTTCCAATTAAAACTCAGCTGTGGAACAAGCATTTATCCTGCTCCTCCAGGACTGGCCTGGGGATGCTCTAATGGAAAAGTTCTATTCTTACTTAACCTTAAAGAAATGTGCAGGATTGAAATGTGGAGTAGGCATCCCTTATCTGTGCCCAAATGGGGTTTTTAATTGTTCAATGCCCGAGTTGCCTCGACAGAAACGTGACACTGTCAGAGGGGAATTTACAGCACATGAATGGATGAGAAACATTGCAAAGCCTGATTGGTGTCTGCTTGGAGAGGAGAAGGTTGTGTGGAGACCTCACAGCACCTTCCAGGCCTATAGGGCACGAGAGAAGGTTCCTATAGCATCAGAAACTGGAGTGACAGGACACAGGGAATGGCTTCCCACTACCAGAGGGCAGGGCTAGATGGGATATTGGGAAGGAGTTGTTCCCTGGGAGGGTGGGGAGGCCCTGGCACAGGTTGCCCAGAGAAGCTGTGACTGCCCCATCCCTGGGAGCGTCCAAGGCCAGATTGGACAGGGCTTGGAGCAACCTGGGACAGTGGAAGGTGTCCCTGCCCGTGGCAGGGGGTGGAACAAGATGAGCTTTAAGATCCTTCCAACTCAAATCATTCCACGATGCTCTGATCCTACCTTCAGAATGGCTTTAGCCCTCAGGCTGGAAGCAAGTTGTCTCCCTGTGTAATAATTAGACATAAATGGGCTCTAGAAAATGCAACCTGGCAAGTAGATGCTCTGAGCAACTGGGCAAGACGTGCTTTTGGAGAATCAAACCTGTAGTTCAGCAGGCATCGAGGATGACATTGCAAAATGGATTGGTGTCAGACGTGCTGTGATTAAAGGCACACGGGATACGTGGGATGTTAAACTTCACCCACAGGGAATGCTGTGTTCACAACGCTGTGACTTTCAGAGAAGCAGCTCCATCCAAGGTGAACCAAAGCACTGAGTAAACACTGGGATTGTTCCAACAATGCAACCCACGGGCTGGTTTGGGGCATGGAATCCTGACCCACGGATCCTCTCACTGCTGCATCCTGTGGGATGGGGAAATGGCTGATGGAAACAGGAGCGATGTTTTAGTGGGATTTATATTCCCAAGGCTTGGCGTTGCCATTGTTTGCTGTAGGATTTCTCGCTCGCTCCCTTTTATCTCTTCTCCTTCTCCTCCTTCTGTTCACTGCGTGAAATCCCCACCCTGGAAGAGCTCGCAGGAACGCGATTTAACCGACTGAGCCACGGGGTGGTGGTGTTGTCCCGGAACGGGTTCTTTCACTCCTTGTGCAAGAGGCCGGTCCACACACAGAGCCGAGGTCTTTGATTTATTTACAGTTCTGCGCAGAGAGCGGGGCTGGGGAACCTGTTTGGGGACAACAGCGGGAGGCCGAAAAATTAAATGTCGGCGCCTCAAACACTCGGCAGTTCGCAAAGGCAGGAGGGGCTTCGCTGAGCCGGGTCTGCACCTTTAACTGAGGGGGAAGGCGAGAGTTTTGGGTGTGGTGGTGAAACCTCAGATCTGCCCGGCCACAGCCCGCGGACTTCTAAAGACTCGGCTCGGGGGAAAGGCACGCCCAGCCCGGAGCACGATCAGGATGGACCGAACATGCCACTGGATCCGAGGATGGGGACTTTTTTCTTCTTTTCTTTTCTTTTCTTTTCTTTTCTTTTCTTTTCTTTTCTTTTCTTTTCTTTTCTTTTCTTTTCTT